CGTCTCACCCGCTGCCCGCCGTGCTGGGCCCGTGCCCCCCCTTGCCCGCTGTCCCTGTGTGTCCCTCCTGCCTGCCCTGCCTCTGGCTCCTTGCTTCCCTCCCTCCCCCCTCCCTCTCTCCGTGTCCTCCCCCTCTCGCCCTCGTGTGTCCTCCCCCTGGTGTGCCGTGTCCTCTCCCTCTCTTTCTCCCTGCCTGGCTGCCTCTCTCCGTCTCCCGTCCCTCTGTCCGTCGGCCCGGTCTGTCCTTTCCTGTCGTCGTCCCTTCCTCGCCTCTTCCCCTTCTCGCTCCTCGGCTCCTCGCTTTCCGGCCCGTCCCCGTTTCGTCCCTGGTCCGCGTTTCTTTGTCGGCCCGCCCTTCGGCCGGAATAAGAGCGCCGCCAGCTGGATTGGCATTCTGCTCAACTGTTAGCCTCAATTCGGGCCACACATCCCAAAGGCACTGTGTGGCGGCATCCTTGTTTTGATATTACCCCGTTGGGAGGCCCCAAATGCAGGGACATGAATATAACATTTAGGAGTGGATGCACAGGAGAAGGACACTCTATAGGAACATACGCAAAACACAAATGATTCGTGCTCCAGGGGGGGGTTCAACCTATGGGAACATGTGTAAAAACGGGGGATTGGAGCCACTCCTGTGGCCTTCTTGTGGCCTCCTGGGGCCTCCTGGTGCTTCCTGGGGCCTCGTGGAGCCTCTTGGGGCCTCCCGGGGCCTCCTGTAACCTCCTGTGGCCTCCTGTGGCCTCCTGATAACTCCTAAGACCTCCTGTGGCCACCTGTGGCCTCCTGGGGCCTCCTGGTGCCCGTTGGAGCCTCCTGCGGCATGCGGAGGAGGATCCGTACACACGAGCCTGGCCAGCAAAATAAGCAAACCGTTCGAAACATCCTCGCAATCTGGGCCACCACTGGTGCGAGAACCAGCGCCTCGCTCGACACATCCCCCAAATCTGCTCCGAAACCGGAGGATGTTGAGAACCAAAACAAGCACCCCGATCGAGGCATCCCCGCTATTTTGCCGCGAACGGAGGAGTACAATACCCCCTGGTGGCCCCCCCTTGGCGGCGAGA